GGCGTGCGCCTGTAGTCCCAGCTACCTGGGAGACTAAGGCACAAGAATCACTTGAATCCGGGAGGCAGAGGTTGCAGTGAGCCAAATCATGCCACTACACTACAGCCTGGGTGACAGAATGAGACTCGGTCTCAAAAAAAATTAATTAAATAAAATTAAAAATCAAGGTCTATCAAAACTAACAGTGCCAGGTACAGTGGCTCATGCCTGTCATAACAACACTTAGAAGGCCACAGTGGAAGGACTGCTTGAGTCCAGGAGTTCAACACCAGCCTGGGAAATGCAGCAAGATCCCATCTCTTAAAAAAAAAAAAAAAAAAAAAAGTTTTTAGCCAGACATGGTGGTGCACACCTGTAGTCCTAGCTACTCAAGAGGCTGAGGCAGGAGGATCACTTGAGCCCAGGAGTTTGTGGTTACAGTAAGATATGATTAAGCCACTGCATTCCAGCCTGGGTACAAAGCAAAACACTGTCTCTAAAAATGAAATAAATGTTTAAAACAAAGGTAACAGGATTGGGCCGGGCACGGTGGCTCACGCCTGTAATCCCAGCACTTTGGGAGGCCAAGGCAGCAGATCATGAAGTCAGGCGATCGAGACCAGCATGGTCAACATGGTGAAACCCCATTTCTACTAAAAATACAAAAATGAGCCGGGTGTGGTGGCAGGTGCCTGTAATCCCAACTACTTGGGAGGCTGAGGTAGAATTGCTTGAACCCAGGAGGCAGAGGTTGCAATGAGCCAAGATCACACCACTGCACTCCAGCCTGGGCGACAGAACAAGACTCCATCTCAAAAAAAAAAAAAAAAAAAAAAAAGTAACAGGGTTAGCTGGGCACAGAGGCATGTGCCTGTAGTTTCAGCTACTTGTGAGGCTGTGCTGGGAAGACTACCTGAGCACTGAAGTTCAAGAACAGCTTGGGCAACACAGTGAGACCCCATTTCAAGAAAAAAAAAGAGTAATTGTGTCTAGGAAAGTATTCCTTGAGTAATATCGGGTTAGCTCCACACTCCATATAGAAGTGAATGTTTAACTGAGGTAAACACTAATATAATCAATTAACTATAGAATGATGTTAGTTTCACTCATGGGCATTTAAAGACACTGAAGAAGCTGTGCAGGTAGAGACTAGCAGTAAGAAATAAACTACTGCCTTAAGGTAATTTTAAAATGTAGGCAGGAATATATACTAAGCATGCTCGGTTTTCTTGCCTTTGTTCATGCTTATAGCCAATTAATTTTTCAATTGCCTGAAATCTACCTATCATTATCACCATCATGGCTAGCCATTAACTGGGCATTTAATGTGACAGGTCTTTAGTAGGTGTCATTTCACTTATTCTTTACAGGCACCATTTGAAGATGGCATTATTAACCCCATCATAACCAGACAAGGTATACATAGGTACTAAGTACCAGTGTCAGGACTCAAAACCTGGGCTATCTGACAATAACCTCACCTCTGATTATTTTTTAAAACATGAAATAAGGTGAAGTGTTTTAAAATGGTTACTTATTTTTAAGTGGCGGGGGGGAACCTCTTAGTTTACGAATTATCTTCATTAAAAATAATCAGGAATGAGAAGGTTAGACCTGTTACCTTATCCAGGTGAATTTTGGTCCAATATTTGTCTAGCAAAGTAGCATGACTGTTTAGCGGTCGATACCAATTTCCACCACAGCTCAAGAGTCTATGTTTCAAAATAAAAAACAGTCACACAAAATTCCAAATTTTAATCCTGAATTGTACCTCTGCATATTACTTGCCGTACACTGTCTCACATAGGAAAAAAATTCATAATCCCTTCTGTTTCCAGATACTACACCGTTGGGCTTACACGGCAGATGACAAATGAAAGGCTGATAGTTAACCCATGTTTGGCTCTTCTCCTAAGAAGCAGTGATAGTGCTTTAATCAAGTATTTTCAAATCACTGCAAATAATTCTACAAGGTAAATGTTTTTGTTTCAATGACAGGTTCCTCTTCCTTAAGACATAAATACCTTCAGAAAAGAGAAAGCATAATCTAAGGCTCATAACATTAACATTAAGTTCACTACTTGTTACCAGAAGCTACAGTACTTAAAACCATTAAAAATTTCCAGAAGAGAAAAAAGTAGAGAAGGAATATACATTAAACATACACTCTGGGGAGGTACATGCTTATGCATAAGCCACTTAGTTCTCACAACTGTCCTGAGAGGAAGATGCCATTCTTTTCTTCTGACATAAATGGAAGAGAAGGAAAGAATGGCCCTTATACACTCAGCTGTAACTGAAAATGGCAGAACTGAAAATTGAATTCAAGTTTATCAGATCAAAAGTTTGTCCAACATCTTTCCACGATGTCCCAGGTCTTTCTGGGAAGTGTTTGAATCTACAAAGCAAGAACTTCACTGTCTCTATAAATCAAATTAAGGTCAGCCAAGCTCAGTGGCTCATGTCAGCAGTTCCAGAACTTTGGGAGGTCAAAGCAAGAAGATCGCTTGAGCCCAGGAGTTCGAGACCAGCCTGGGCAACAAATTAAGGCCTCATGTCTTGCAAGTGCTTATCATATCTTAACGTAACAGCACAAAACTCCCTGGGGCCTCAAGTGATCCTCCTGCCTCAGCCGCTTGAAGGTACAGACTACAGGTGGTGAACCACCAATGTCTGGCTAAAAACTTTTTTTTTTTTTTTTTTTTAAGAGATGACTGCCGCATTTCCCCCAGGCTGGTGTTCGAAAACTCCTGGACTCCAAGCAGTCCCCTTCCACTGTGGGGGCCCTTCTAAGTGTTGTTATGACAAGGGCAAGGACCACTGTACCTGCGGCACTGTTAGTTTGATAGACCGTTGGATTTTTAATTTTATCTTATTCAATTTTTTTTGAGACCGAGTCTCATTCTGTCCATCCAGGCTGTAGTGTAGTGGCATGATCCGCCCTCACATGCAACCTCTGGCCTCCCGGATTTCAAATGATCTCGTGCCTAGTCCGTCCCCAGGTACTGGGACTACAAGGCCCCCACGCCCCATGCCCTAATTGTGTTCAGTAGAGGTGGGGTTTTTGCCGTGTCGCCCAGCGCGGTCTCAAACTTCTGGCCTCAAGCAATCCATCTGCCTCAGCCTCTGAAAGTGCTGGAATTACGAGGTGTGAGCCCCATGCCATCTTATTTTAGGTTGGTTTTTTTTTTTTTTTTTTTAAAGAAC